CGACACTATGAAGCACATCATGCAAGCCCCTGGGAACTGTAGCGTAGAGGATGCACTTCAAATTATTTGCAGTGCTGAGGAACTTGCCTGTATCTAATTCATACTCTACAAAATTAAAAAAAATGAGTAATTACAGCTGGTGTTATATCTCACTTGCCTGTAAAATGAAGGGATACAACTGAGGCGCAATGAGAAGAAGCTCCTGAATGACATAAACATCGACAAAGACAATCGGCTTCGCTTTCACATCCTTGGGGACAAGGGGAAAAGAAAAAAGCGGATACAAACCAGAGAAGAGAAGATATTTCTTTTGGCAAATGACTGCCTAACAGGGGATCCTTTAGTCCATGATTTATCCCTTAGCCAGGTTTCGTCATCAATTTCATGTATTATATTACCATGTGCCAAGAATAATGCTTCTAATAGTCTTTTAATGATGTAGGACATGAACTCTATATGTGCAAATGGCTATAGAATTGCGAAGTGCATGAAAGAGTATTTCCTATTCAGGAAGAACTATCGAGGAACTTTGAGTTCAGCACTTCTAGCCAAATCTTTGTATCAAAAGGTCTGGGATGACAGTCCATACTTGCTGAAACAATTGCCTGGTATTGGAATGGTGACAGCAAAGGTTTGTAGCTTATGTTCATCTGATAGTCCAAATCTTGGGACAAAAGACTGAACCCTAAGGTTTCTTCTGACATACACTTATCTTCCTGCATAGGCACTGCATTCAATGGGAGTAAAATCATTTGTTTCACTCTCTGAGGCTGATCCAAGGAAAATAGAGATAGTCACTGGAAGAAAATTTCCTTTTGGGAATCATATAAAAGAGTCATTACTATCGTTACCTCCAAAAGTTGAGATGAAGGTTGAGGAAACTGAGAGCCAAAGGCAAGGGAAGTCCAAGGTTATGGTAACGCTGACTAGGTTGTCACAACCTGTGCAAACAACTAAACGACATTATGCTGATATGGTATGCTAATTACAGAGACCAACTCGCATTAACACTATTTTGTCTCATCTTGCACCTATTTTATTGTAGAATTTACTCAATGACATTCAGTTGGAAATTTTCTGACAGGTGGTTGGTGTTGAAGAAGATAATCTGGTGTTATTTCATGAGAAAATAAGGTAATATATTCTTAAAGATAAAGTGGGCACTTCAAAATGCCATCATTTTTCTTGAAAAAAGAAAAGCTTCCCAACAAAATAAGGACATCTCAAAGCATGTTTGTATCAGTTCAAATTTAGAATGCCATTATTTTTCTTCAAAAAAAGAAGATTCCAACAAAACATTGACATTTTCGAAGCATGTTTATATTAATTCAAATTTTTAGGCGTCCACCATCTACTTTTGTATGACTAGCCATACATTTTGACACCTTTTGAATGATTTGCATGGGTGTTCAACTTATGACCTAATGGTGTTAAGTCTCTGTAAGATTCTTTAGCCACTAGAATGACTTGAAATTTCTTTTTTTTACCTGCAGAGTGGATGACTTTCCTAGGTACTCTCAGAAGCTTGGTCCTCATTTCCAAATCAGGCCTGAGAAATGGCTAGACTGTACCAACTAGATGATCAAATTCATGAAACTCTTTTGAGTGTATGTCATAGTTAGCAGTGATCTGCACTGATATTTTGGTTTTCTTTTACAGCCCTTATAGCAGGACAGTTCTGGTGCCAAGCCCTCAGCAAGGGAAGCTGACTGTTAAAGCAGATCTGATATTTGATGAATTTAGTTAACTTCCCCGACATTCTATTTGTAGCTTCATTTATGTGTACTCCTGTGCCCCTGAGTGTTATCTGACTAGATCACATCATTTTTATGCAGTTGGTGTCGATCTCCATCAAAAGGTTTTATTGATAAAGGAGATTGGCCTTAATTTTGTGAATAAGTACAGAACCAAGCAGCCTTCTTTGTTCCAAGCCAATGATGCCTGCATCATAAAGGACACAGAGGATGCAGCTCAAGCTTCATGCCAAGTGTCTCATACTTTACCTGAACCTGAATGGAGCTCAGACATGTGAGAGCTAACTTTTCCTTTTATGGGAGTAAAGTATATGATAACCATGATGGTTGACAATATGACTGCTAACTCTGTAGCCTCTGTTTCTTATTTTGATTTGGGGTATGCATATTAGATATATGACCTTATATATGAGAGGGCAGTTTAAGTTTTTAATAAATTCCGACTGTGTTTGTTGGACCCTATGAAATAATTGTGCGGTGTCTGTTTTGTGGAAACTGAAGGATCCAAATCCCATCGTTCTCTCTTATGATGGATTGAATCTGCTTCCACACTGAATACTAACTGCCTTTTTGTTTCTGTAATCAGGCCCAGTTTCAAGCTAATAGACGAAGATTTAGAGGAAGGTAGCAATTAAATTCTCACATCTAGTGTTTCATGTACGTCAATATGTCACTGACTTCTGCTGCTATATACATCAATGAAGTGGTACCTGCTGCTGTGGTTGAAGATGATGAATGCAGAATCATAGACAAAAAGACTATATTTGACCATATACGTGAAAAGGGTAAAAGCCTCCCTGCTTTTACCCCATTGAAAGGTACATGTTCACCATCATTAGAGACTTTGAAACTCATCATAAAGCGCACTCGCGAGGAGCAGCTTCTTGTTGAGAATGCTGTAGGAGTATCGGAAGAAGTGACAAAAACCAAAGTCCCACGTCGCAGCTTGGCCATTCACTCTGCAGAATATATCGATCTAGAAGAAAATAGACCATTCTATAACAAAGATCAGAGACCAGATAGCCATCACGTCTCTAATGCCATTTACCTGGCTAGTGACACAGGTAATACACGAAGTCCTTGGTACTAATATTTGTAAATTATATGCAGGCTGACGTCAAATTATACTGTTCTAGGTGAGCTTTCCTTTGAAACTGGGAGGGTTCCATCCGAAACAATGGCTGAAGCATTGACATTCAATTATAAGCCTGTGGATTCTAAGATCTTCCACAGCTTTGAGAATGTGAAGAACACAGAATCCAAGTTACTCAGTATGGCCAATGAAACCTGCACGATGCACCAACCAGAGCATAATTCTGCCATCTTTGGATTTCAAGAGACAATTCCAACAAAAGTTGAGCAAAATGCAGTAGCTAATTTGGATCTTGAACCTGTGAAGGCAAAGGGAAAAGCAATTATAGAAATTAAAGAGGTTGATGATATAACTCATGGAAACACACCTTGCACTAGTGAAAAATCTGACCTTTCTTTAGTGACCTCAAGAAAAGCTGCAGAGGAAAGATCAAGATTGTTGTCATCTTCAGATGCTTGCCTTAATATGAATAAAGTTGGATATCCACTACGTTCTCCAAGTTTCCAGGAACAACGGTGCTCTTCTTCAGTACAAGTGGGAGAAACCAGCCAAGCAAATCCCTATGGGTTTAAAAGTATTTTCTCATTTCTGTTTGAGTGAACGTGGTTGTATCTGGTATGTTGAATCCAATGACTTGCTTTTCTCAACTATATTGAGAATAATGAGATGTCACTCTTGGAAGTATGCGTAGAAGTGAAGGATCAGCCGAGAAAACCTGTTTGGCCTCCTTTGCTCTGTTGAATAAAATTACTCTCCACGATAATGTTCTTCCAGAAAAAATTGTATTGCTGTGCTACTATCAGTGTATTTGGATCCGGATAGAATCTCTCCAATTTCACCGGTGCAAGTCTAATTTAATGACATATGTCATTTTTCAAATCCAAAGGCCAAGACTAAATCAATCCCTAAATTATGGTTAAAACTAAATATTCCTATTATTTATCCTTTCCTTAAACGTAGAATCTTTTACTTACAGGGATATTGGGATACGGTACCAGCAAAATCAAATCCTTTCATGGATTTTTTTATTTTTCATGAATCAAATCTCCAAATTGTTAAACTTTTTTCTCCCGAAATTTCAAATTCTTCAAATGATATATTATTTTAATAGGCATCATAACTTTTTTATTTTCACGGGGGACATTTTTATTTTTGTTCTTCCACCTTTTTTGTTTCTTGGAAACCAAATAAATATTTTTTTTTGTAGTAGGCAATTAGTTGCATTGATAAATTTTTTTGGTTGAAGTTAATGTGAAGAAGAAATAAATGGTTTAATCTTTTGTTTTTCTTCATTCTCGCGTCAAAGAATCGTTTCCATTGATAAGAAAATATTTTCCCAATCAAAATGAAATTCCCAGCAAGATTTTCGGATGGTTGATTTCTCTTTCCAATTTTGATACTAACCCAACAAGAGAATGTAGTTTAATCATGGTTTAGTCTAAATAAATTTTGGCCCTTGGATCTGAAAGATGACAGATGTCATTAAATTAGACATGCACTGATGGAAATGGAGAGATACTGTACAGGAGTTGAGCCAAATTCAGTATATTTTAATTTGTTATAGTAGGTAATGTTTCTTATTTTTTAGGAATAGATCAAAAGAGAGTTTTCCTGAAATAATACTCAGTAATAATTCAAAATCTAGTACTTTCGTGAAAACTATATTCAATCTAATAATTTCCTTGCCACATGTAGTGCCAAAAGGATTCTAATATTCCATCTGTTTCAATTTAGATGAGGTAATTTGATTCGACACGGAGTTTAAGAAATAAAAGAAGATTTTTAAAATTTGTGATCTTAAAAGCTTTATGGGGTCATGATATTTGTGTGGTTATGAAGGGTTCTTATTAATGGCAAAATTGGTAAAATAAAGAGTTTAAAGTTGAATTATTTTCAATTATAGAAATGTGTCATTTTTTTTTTAACGAATTAATAAGGAAAATATGTCATCTAAATTAAAATAGAAGAATTACTATTTTTTTTTTAAATGAAAAAGAAAAAGGATGTCCATGCTGGCGATTCTTGAACGCCGTAGCGCAGGACACATCAACGCTGACTTTGGTCAGAATTCTCAATTCTCCTGTGGACCACCATAACTAGCGTAAAGTTCGTCGTAGCGAATATTTACCCTTTCGGTGGCTGCTAGAAATATTTTCTGAGCTTCTAGAAATCTGTCACAAGGAATTCAACTTTTTTACCCTCTATTTCGAGCCCCTGTCCTTTTGCTTCTCTCGCGTCACCGTCTCACCGATTTGCTTTCTGAGGTTTGTTTCTTCCCTTTCTTTGAAGTTTCATTGTTCTACTTGATTTCTATGGTTATTTACATAGTAGATGTTTGCTATGGAAAAAGATTATTGTTTGATATTATAAATGTTTGATTTCAAGTTATGTGCTTTTGGTTCGCGTAAACTCAATAATCGAATTATGATTTGGAAGAAGCAACTCTGTTTGTCTAAAAAGAAACCAAAAAAAAAAAAGAAAATTCACTTTGATTTCTGTAGAAGTCAATTTTGCTATACAAGACATATGCATGAGATGCTGAGGAAGGATTGAAGATGGCCGCGAGGGGGTTGGATAAAATTTGATTTCCCGGTCCCAATTCTTGTCATTTTTGTTTATTCTTTGGCTAAAAATTTTAACAAAGTAATTCATTTTCGAAGTTGGAATTTAGATATTAAGAAACTATATGAAAGGTTTAAAGGTGCAAATTTTCTCATATCAAATAATCAAAATACGGAAAGAAGACAACATTATTCAAAATGCACTAATTAGAATCTCTGATACAAAAATTGGCAGTCAATTGAGAGTTGAGACAGAGGAACATGTTGCGTGTTAGTATTTTGTTATTTTTGGTGCAACTGTTTTTACTGTTCTCATGTATGAGTAATTAAGCATTCAGTGTTATTACATTGAGACTGATTCGTGGAATTGATACCTTTCATTTACATCCCTTTTCCCTAAAGAAGAGGAAAAGATGGCAGGTTCCCATGTTGCACATGCTGTGTACAAGGGTCCAAGTGTAGTGAAGGAGATACTGATTGGGATTACTCTTGGCATGGTTGCGGGAGGTTTCTGGAAGATGCACCATTGGAACAACCAGAGGAGAACTAAGGAATTCTACAATATGCTTGAGAAAGGTGAAATCAGTGTTGTGGTGGATGAGGAGTAGCTTTTCAACTCCCTTTGCTTCAGCATGAAATTGGTTTCTATGGTAGCTTTAGATGTTACTTAAGTATACTTCTTTCTTGTTAAGGAGTGTAACAGAAATTTTTTTGAGTTTCTTTGAGGATAGTTTTAACTTGGGAAATGCAATGCTTTTGAAATTTTATAACACAGACTAGCATATTTGGCGTTTCGCATGAGTATGTTTTTGTGTTTTATTGTCTGCTATTGATATTTAGTGCTTTTGAGCTGGGGAATTTCCCTTTTCCTGGGCTGGCATTTTTTTTAATGGAATATGTAGCTATTGTGAATCCTGCTCAGCAGATTGTAAGTTGCTAGTTGCAATGATGAAGTTTTAGCTCCAAAATCAACCTGAATATATTGTTCTGGTTATGTTATGCTATTATGGAAGAATTTTCAAACAATTTCTGGTTTTCTTTACTTTTATGATGTTTACACTACTAGCCAATTTGTGGTGGTCATAGTTGTTATGATTGTTAACATAGTTGCCTCAATAGAACTTAGACATGCAGGTCCAAACTGAAAGCTTTTGCTTGTATTGTTGCATCTCTGGTTGGTGATGGAGCATGGTGGTTTTGGTTGGTCTTATGAAGCATCAAATAGAGTTAAATAATTATAAAAGCGGAAAGTGGTTCCAAGGGTTTTTTCCGGTGGTAAGAGTGCAGCTCATGATGTGTGGGATTAGGCGTAGCGTTAGGCGCATATTACAAGTTCGAATATTGTTGTAGACAAAAGCCTGGGGTACGTAAAGGACCTCCTCCGTTAACAGGGAAAAAAGGGGAAAGGGGTGGGATAGTATGTTGGGTTGAAAACATCTTTACTTGTCTGGAGTTAACCTTCTTGTTGGATTCCAATAAGACCTGTCAGCAACTTAAAATTGACGAATGGCTTCGAACTCCAACTAGCCCCACTAATTAAAGTGCAGTCTTTTCCAGCTTACTTGTTAAAACATCTACCTATTACTTCCAAATGGATCTATGTTTCATCTCCTCCTTGTAGTTTATCGATGTCCCTAGAAAGAAGCAACTGTCATGAGATACTCCACCATATTAACGAGAGTGCTCTAAGAAGCGAGAATTGCTACTTAGAGAAGATAAAGTTGATTTTATAAAAAACTTGAACATTGTTAGAATAAGAGTCTTAATAAACAAGGTGATTTGTAGTATATTATGGAGGAGAATATAAATGCAGTATTTATATTCATATCACCATCATTTTGGCATGAGTATTAACACATTTAGAGGGTGTTTGGATTAGCTTTTAAACTGATCAAATCAGTTTTTAAATTCTTTTTAGTTTTTTTTTCTGTGTTTGACAAAGTTAAAAAGTGCTTAAAAAGCCAAAAGCAATTCAAACGGGTTGAAAACAACTCCAACTTATTATTTTTTGGTTTAAAAGTTATTTATGCTGAAAAGACACTTTTAAGCTGTAAGGACCCGTAAAAATTTAAACCAAAAACTCGGGGTTTCGTGGTGCCAAGATAGATTCTTGCGTTATTATAGTTCGGACTTTTTGGATTGAACAGTACCCCACGGACTTAGAGGAAAATGTTTCGCAGAAGGACGCGTTTCTGCGGCCCATTATGCGGCCGCATAATCACTGTGCGGACCGCATAATGGCCGCAGAGTGAAACAATACGTTGGCCAATTTGAGGTCAGCTTTGCGGTCGATTATGCGACCGCATAACCACTATGCGGACCGCATATCGATTGCATAATCCCTCTTGAGTTTTTGGACCGCATAACGAGTATGCGGACCACATACTGGTCGCATACCTGGGCCGTAAGTTCAAACCCCTGAGGGCCATTTCTGCGGTCACTTTGCGGACTGCATATGCGACCGCAGACCTGTGTCGGGCACCCATTTTCTTAATTTAAAATCCGACCCCCATTCCGTTAAAACAACCCTTTAGTCCATTTTGAAGCACATTTTTTATATTTCTAGTGTGAGAGAGAGAGGGTTCTAGAGGGAGGGCCTAATTTTCATCAATTAATCTTCAACTATCACTCAAAGCTTGGAAATACTCAAGTAGAGCACCAAATTCTTCATCCAAAAAGGTAAGATTTCATCACCCCAACTCTTAATTTCAAACATAGCTATAATGGGGTACTAGGGTAATACTTCATGGGTATGGGAGTGGTTCATCTTGCATGCATGTGATAAAGAGTGTGGGAAAAATAAAAAGTGAACTAGAACTATGAACATTTTTCTAATTTTGGGTTCAATATGTATATTGCAAAAATAGATTGAGGCTGCTAAGAGTTCCGAATAATTGTAGAGTTTAAAGAAGCGCAATTGAGGTATGTATGGCTAACTCTTTGCTTCTTAGAATCAAACTCCTAGTGTCCGAATAATTGGTGTAAGTTCCAACTTGATCATACTAGAATTGTTTGCCTTAGTGTGTTGGATTGAAAGATTCATGTTCCCTAATTGTTTTAGATGGTTACCATGTCATCATGCTATTTGAGAACGAAATCGTGATTTTCCAAGCTCCTTCCCTTATGTGTGAAATGCCTTATGTGATGGTACTTATCAACATGAATGATGATGTTATTTGAACGAATACAAAGGGAAAGACTTGAATTGTAAAATATTCCCAAGTGCCAAGAACTACTTAATAAATGAGGTTGTTTGTGCCATGTAACGAAAGATGGGAAAGAGTTGTGAATTGAGTGAACAATTGAAAGAGGTTATGTCTCAAGTGAGATGGCTTAGCTGATCGGGCCGAGATCGGACGCCATGTTGTACACATGGTGGCATTTGTGTTGGAATCATTGATTTACAATGTGGATATGTCTCACTTGAGATGGCTTAGCCCGTCGGGCCGAGACCGGACTCCGTGTAAAAATACGGTGGCATTATGAGTTGTGGCTTTGGAACTAAAGATTATTAACCTAAAAAAAAAAAGATGGAAGAATTGAACTGAAAACTATGTGATCCTTACTTGGTGTTTCTTTGTATTTCTATGAAGTACTTATTGATTGTTATGACTGCCTTCTCTTTGTTTTACTGTTCATTCTACTAAGATTGGTGTTTGCCTTACATACTAGTACTATTCGACAGTACTAACGTCCCTTTTGCCTGAGGCGCTACATCTTTGAATGGATGTAGGTGGTTCCATCACAGATAGTGTTGATCGCAGATAGTGGTGTTCTCCCTCACACTCATCACAACAGTCTTGGTGAGCCCCATTTCTTCCTGGGGTCATGTAGTCCTTCTTTTGTATAAGTTTTTATATTTCGAGGTATAGCCGGGGCGTTGTTGCCGGCATTGTCATGTTGCTCTTTTGTACCCTTAGAGGCTCCATAGACGTTTATGTGGGTCATGTATGTATGTTGGGGTGGTCGTTGGATCGAGTTGTATTTTGAAAACTTAACTATGACATAATGTATATAATGAAAAATGAACTAGCAACGTTTATATATTTATATAACTGATCTCTCCCCTATTTTACAAATGGTGATGCGTTCCCTTTTTGGATTATGAATGAGTCGGGTAGGAAAGGTTTAATAGGCTTGCTCGATCGAGTTCACTCGGTTGAGAGCCGGTCGCGCTCCCCGAGGTTGGAGCGTGACAAAAGCTAATTCAAACGGGCTCTTAATAGAGCGACAACATAGGCAACTAATACAAATATGAGAAATTTTCAGAAACCAATATTGTTTAGTGGCTATTAACTTCTTATAGCTAACATATACATAATTAATTCCTATAGTTACTATTGAGTTGTTACGGCAGTGTACTTGCTGTATTCGCGCTACTGTATTCATGAATACAGTAGCAAAAATTTCCTAAAAACAGGGGAGTCCAGTTGTACGCGACTGTATTCAGATATATTCGCGCCATGTATTCATGAATATAGTAACGACAATCACCTTAAAAATAGGCCTGTCTAGTTGTCTAATAACGTAAATAGGATCAATTAACGTGATACACTCATAATATAACTCAACAAAATCAATTCTAACACGCCTCATTATCAACCCAATTAATTAGAATAATTTTTCAGACGCTAAACACAAAAAATAGAGCATTGTCAATTTAGCTTCAACATAACACAATCTGCAGAGCTTCAGAGATTCAATCAATTTTTTTCCTGGTATAGTTCGAGTTTTGATTTGACCATCATTGATAGGAATATTTTTTTGCTCGACATTCATTGATACAAGTATTTACAGAATATTTAGTAATTTGATTTACTATATGACAAGCTTAACAATGCTAATTCGCCATTCTAGGAAGTGGAACAATGAAAATTGTTATGTCGATTATTCGATTGAGGGGATATTGAAAGCATATAGTAAATCGAATATTCCCTATTTATTGAAAGCATGTATTCAATCAGTATAATGTATATGTTATTTTAAATTATGGTGTAATGTATAAGAAAGTTACAATGTGATACCTTAATACATGTATGAATATAGCCTGTAATATGAATATTTATTGAAAGCATGTATTCATGCATAAGGTATGTAATCAACCTAATGTCTGTATATAGTTGTATTTAACTGTTGTATTCAGTGTGTTTCAATATTTATTTTTTACTGTTGCATTCATCGTATTCAACGTTTGTATTCACTGTATTCATTATTTTGCATTCAGTGTATTCAATTGTATTTGTATTAAAAGTACATTAGTTATTTCTAATACATGTTATTACTACTGTATTCAGTATATTTTATTGATTGTATTCACTGTATTTCTATTTGTATTCAGTGTATTTACTGTATTTTAAAATTAAATGTATTCACTATTTATACTCTGTTTCTTTTAGTATTTGTATTTAGTGTATTTCAATATTTATATCATGTATTCATGCATACTGTATGTACTCCATATATTCATGGACAAATACATATTTTGTACATATGTCCAAAACTTATGTTTTTTTGTTTAATGTAGGTTATACCATCAACTGAATACTTGCACATGGTGAATGATGAAGGAAGGCATTAAACCGTTTGCCTCCAAAAGAAAAATTGCAGTTGTGGGAGGTTCCAAGTGGACGAGCTACCAGGCCCACATGCTTGGGCTATCTTGAAAAGCAAGTTTCTAATGTCGGATGATTATTGCTCGGATTATTACAAACCAAGGTTTGTTGTAATGACATACGAGGTCCCCGTGTATCCTCCCCCTGATCGAAGTGAATGGAATATACCATCACATATATCAGAGAAAGTTGTCTTACCACCCAAATGGAAGAGACCTCCTGGAAGGCATAAAG